ACTGCACGGGTGATCAAACTCTGACACTCCCAAAATTTGCCAATAAAGTTAAACCTTGAATCATGGGACAAACCAGTGATTAACTGACTGGAACTGGCCCCAAAGAAGCCAAATTTGGATAGATAAAACACACAGAAAGGAAAGGACAGGAACTTGAGTTTGGCACTTCTTTTGGGTTCTGGGATGAGGGAAGTGACATGTCTTTTGCAATATCTCTAGCCAAAAAGCAAGGTCAGCTACTCAACCTCTCTGAGCTAGCAGGTTTTCACCCCAGCCTTTGACTTCTGAGTCTTATCAATAAATAGAATGATAGAGACTTAATTTAAATCTTTATAGCATGGCTGCATCAGTGCCTGGACAAAGGGACTAGAAGCGCCGACAGGCTGTGACCTGAGTGGCCTGGAACCATGGGGCCACAGATGATAATTAAAATGTCAGTAGATTCATGTGCAGCAGTTAGCCAATAGAAAAACATCATTCCTCCCACCATAAAACAGATGGATGCTCCTGAGAGGTGGCCCTGGAGGCCATTTGGCATTCTCTCTTCGGCCAGATTTCCAGGTGTTCTGGGAGCTGGAGTAGAAGAGGATCCTATAAGTATTGGACAGCTGTCATTGCCGAGGTAACATGGTGAGCTTCTGTTACAGGGGGTGTATAAGTGAGTCCTTAGTCAACAAGGACCCAAGAGCAAGAGATTGCCTTCATATTTTCTACAGCCGCTTCTACCACTGGAGTATGGATGCCCTGGGTCTACAAATGGCAGGAGGATTGGCTGGGTGTTGGGAGGTGTGGAGGTAGGGGGTTAGGGAGTGAGGGAGAAAACATGAGGGTTTTTTTTTTTTTTGACCACGTCATATGTATTCCAGGGGTTTGTGTAATTTTGAACAGTGGTGACAATGAACTTCTGATCCCCCTGCCTCCATCTCCTAAGTGGATTAAGGCTTACAGGAATGCACTACCATACCCTGTTTATTTGATAATGGGGATTGACTCTTGCTAAACTGAGTCAAAACTAATCAACTGAGTTACATCCCGGGTCCCAAATATGAGTTTTAATAAGATGTAGCCCTTCCCTGAAAGAGGTCACAGAATCAGAGTCATGTAGGTCTCTGAGGTGTACTGGCAGAGACATGTAAAGGAATTTGGGGTGTTCAAATTATGTGGAGGCTCACATGGAGGAGCAGGAGCTAGTACAGGCCCAGGAAGGGCAGACAAGGGCATATCAGGCAGGGGCAGACACAAGGGAAAATGTGTAGTCAGAAACAGTTGCTCTGTTTGTGGGACTGAAGCATTGTGGGCACTGCTAGAATAAAGCTGGAGGTGTTGGGGTATCAGTGGTGACAGACAGACCGGAGGGGTGGCAGGGGCCAGGTCATGCATGATCCTGGGTGCTAATCCAGGGAGTCTGAACTTGATCCTGAGAGCCACAGAGAGTTGGCAAAGCTCCAGGCAAGAGGGAGGCATCAGAACTTATTAATTAATTATGTTTGAGTCAGGCCTCTCTATGCAGACCTAGCTATCCTGACACTCATTATGAGGAAACAGATCATCTGAGAGAGAGCTGCCTGCCTCTGTCTTCCAAATGTAAATTTAAAAGCTAATTTAAATGTAATTAAAAGCAGGGACAATGGTTGTCAGAACAGAAGGGTAAAATGAGGTGAGAAGGGATAGAAAGAGATGGGAGTGGATATGAGGAGATATGGGAATGTACTTTGTTTCATGCTGATTGCAGGCCTTCTTATCACCTATTTATGGGTTTGGAATCATGGCCCAATGATTAAGAGCACTGGTTGTTTTTCCAAAGGACCCAGATTGGATTCCCAGCATCCATGTAAGAGGTTTAAAACTCCAGGGATCTGACACCCTCTCTGGTCTCCATGGATGCCCACATACATACACACAAATAAAAATAAATAATTAAAGAAAAAGTTTTTTTTAAGATAAATTTATGGAACCTCTGGGATGTAGCTCAGTTGGTGGAGTGATGGATTGCCTTGCACACAAGACTCCTGGGTTTGACTCCTAGCACCACTTAAAACCTGGTGTGGTAGTGCATACCTGCAACCCCCAACTTAGAAAGTGGAGGAAGGAGCCCCACAGTGGTGGCACATGTCTTTAATCCCAGCACTCAGAGGCAGGGGGATCTTTATGAGTTTGAGTTTGAGGCCAACCTGGCCTACAGAGGGAGTTACAGGACAGCCAGGGCTACATAGAGAAACCCTGACTCAAAAAGCAAAACAGAGGTGGAGGAAAAGCTGGAGAGAGATCGCTGAGTGATTAAGAGCAGTTGCTGCTTTGTTGTTTTTGCAGACGATCAGGGTTTGATTCCCAGCACCCACTTGGTGGGTCATTACCACCCTTAACTCCAGGTCCAGGGAATTTGATACCCTATTCTGACCTCCTTAAGCACCAAGCATGGATGTGATACGCATACATACACACAGGCAAAACACTCACTCATAAAATAAAATGAATAAATCTCATAAAAACTTTAAAAGGAAAGAGGAAGCAGAGGTTCAGAAGTTCAATGTCATCCTTGGTTACACGGCAAATCAAGACCAGCCTGGGCTACACAAGACCTTTAAAAATGCCAAGAAATATTTACAAGCCAATTGTTTTTTAATATGATCAGCTGAAGAGGACTCAGGTATCAGGAGAGAACATGAGTGCTCCAGACTGCAGACCCTGGATATTGGAGTCACTGGTAAGCAAGGAAGCAGTCACCAGGAAGCATATAGGAGCAGGGATGGATGAGGCAGATCGGGATCTGACCACAAGGATGTTACAGCCCTGGGGTAAGCGATGTGGAATGAGAAAGAAATATCCCACATGTCCATCTGTGTGGGACTCTGACTGGTTTTCAGAGCATCTACCTGTTCTGTTGATGAACTAATGGTGTACTTGAGTTGTTGGTGGATATTGTTGATGGACATAGGTGGCTGTAAATTGGAATGAAAGCATGGTTCTGATATAAATGACAAAGGCAGGAAAGAGACTGGCAGATGTTATGGTAGAGACGAGTAGACTTGAATGTGGGAGAGGGCTGGATGGCTGGGGGTAGGAATAAGAGTTGTTGAGCAAATAAATGGCAGCTGGATCCAGGGGCAGGGATTACATCATCAGGGGATTGCCAAACTCAGGGACCACAGTCATGCTTGGGAGCACAGCCATGCTTGGGAGCACAGCCATGCTTGGAGACAGGTGTGTGGGTGTGTGGGTGTGTGACAGAGGGAGAGTAGGGTGGAGGGTGGATCACCCAGGCACCTCAGCCCAATCAGCTCAACCTCCCCACCCCTGTAGTCAACGTCTGTCATCTAACCCAGAAGAAATGCCCTGGTTCTAAATTCTGGGGTTCTCAGACCCTACAAGTTCCACTGGGTACACAATGTCTGGCCCTTTCCTGGAATCAGGCATAGCTGGCAAAAGGCATGTCTAATGGCCTCTTGGTGACTTTGCCTGGCCTGCAGCTCCTCAAAATTTTCTCAGTCGAGCTGGAATCATTTTCTCTTTTAGGGAACCCAGGTGTCCTGCTCCCTCCACTGGGGAGCTAGGAGTGAAAATAGTTCAGGGAGTGGGGCAGTGCCCTACAAGGCCAGGCCTGGGCAACAGCTGCCCACATGGCCCTCTTGAGCTCCCCCAAAGGCGCTGCCTCAGCACAAGTGTCCATCTGGGCCCCCGGGTTAAGTTACTGGTAAGGGGACCCAGGGCTCCCCTCCTCCTGACCTTCTGGTCTTTTAGCAGACTCAGGGCTTCTAAAGCAGGGAGGAATATCTTGGGAAAGAGAGGGTTGGGGCAAGGGACAAAGACCCTCCGATGGGGGGACTCTTTTTCTCATAGTATATGAGAGGCTGCCTATCTCTGCTGTTTTCTGGGCCTCAGTTTCTTCAATTGTCAAGCCAATAGAGGCACTGTGGACACCAACCTGAGCAGAATACATAGTAGAGGATGGGAAAGAGTACCAGATGGTTCTTCTCCCCTACACCACCCACTGGTTGCTAGCCTGGCATGTTTTCAGGATGGGGTCTGGGGATACTTAACTGGAGAGTGGGGTGGGTGTATAAAGGGACACAACTTCTTGAGAACCCTTCGCCTCCCACCCAACAAGTTGGATCTTCTGGACCTTGTCCAAAATCTACTTTCACCGGCAGAAGTGGGGCAGTGGGCTCAAGAGAGTTGGGGGCAGGGGTCATTAGGGACTTAGGAACTCCTTGACATCCTAAATCCCTCATGAGGACTCCCAGCCTTTCTTCTAGCCCTCGGGGAAAGCAGATGGCTGGTGAGCAGAGCCTGGGTTAGGGAACGGCAGTTTAGATTATAGGAAGGTCTTTGAACTGCCCAGATGCCCAGGAGGCCTCTCAGCCTCAGTTTTGCCTTTGGGAAATGGGTGAGCACTCACTTTCCGCTGCTGTTTCTCCCAGGCCGGGTCCAACAACAAGTCACGGTCCCAGTCCTCCTCCTGTTCCATGTACTCGCCGGCCCCGCCGCCGGAGAAGGGCCCCGCCCCAGCCCCCAGACCCTCGGGCTGCATAACCATCATCATCTTGCTCGGACTCTTCGTTCTGCTCTGATCCGCTGGGCAAGCTCTTGAACGCTCAGGCCGGGTTAAGTAGAGCCCGGCCCAGCCCCAGATCGGATTCGTACTAAATATGGGGGATGTGGGTGGGGCCAGATAGGGGGCGAGGGAACTTGGGTCTGGACCAGAGAAGAGATTGTGCTGGAGTCAAAGATTGCGGAATTGCGGGGGATGCTGGAGTGACTGCTAGCTTAGACAGCGGGTTTGCATTTCAGCCCTGTGGTTAGCCTGCTGTGTGATCTTGGGAGAGTCATGGAACTCCATCTATAAAGTGGAGTCCAGGTGGTGGCTGCAGGCCATTCTAAATGTCTGCCCCCCTTCCAGCACTGCACACGAGAAACAGACCCTTATTTCTATCTCACAAGTCAGTAACACCGAGGCAACAAGCTGTTTGAGGAGTTTTCTAGGGTGATGGAGACACCCGAGCATGCAGAAAGGCTCGGGGCCAGATGATAGGGCCAGCCAGGTCTATTAATACCGGGGCGGCTGTAGAGGAGTGTGGTGAGAATGTGCTGAGCCGGGAAACCCCGACGCCACGGGGGCTGCAACTCAATCCTCCGGGGTGTGGCAGCCAGCCACGCCAGGGGGCGTGGCCCCTGCAGGTCGCTGGCGACGCTTCACTTTGACACTGAGCGGCAGCACCAACCGGATTTTGAAATCTGGTCTGTCAGCCAATCACTTCTCTGTGTCTGTGGCCCCGCCCTGTGAAACTGACGCGCAACGCACCCCTGCGAGTTCCCATTGGTCAGGGCAGACATCCGTCCGCCGCTATGCCCGCCCCAATACGGAAGCGGTGGGGTCCCAGGGATCCGACAGCGGGCGGGGCGGAACCCTGGGGCGGCCCTGGGCGGCTCGAGGAGCAGAAGGAGCGTCCGCGCGGCTGCCACTGGTGATCACCGCGCTGTGGGCCGCCGCCGTGGTCCTGGAGCTGGCTTACGTGATGGTGCTGGGGCCCGGGCCTCCCCCATTGGGACCCCTGGCCCGGGCCTTGCAGCTGGCGCTGGCTGCTTATCAGCTTCTTAACCTGCTGGGCAACGTGGGACTCTTCCTGCGCTCAGATCCCAGCATTCGGGGCGTGATGCTGGCTGGCCGCGGCGTAGGCCAGGGCTGGGCGTGAGTGTCGGGCACCGGGGTCGGCGGACAGAAGCGGGCGTGGGGGGCGTGGGACGCTGGGACCAAGAGAGGTCCTGGAACTTGAGCTGCAGGAAACCAGATGACGTTAGCATTCGAGTTGTTAGAGCCAAAGAACTCCTTTAGAACCTGGCATCCGCTACTTATCATTCAGATACTGAGCAGGCACTGACTGTTCTGGGGACTGAAGTAAAAACAGATGTCTGACCTTCTGGAGTTTATTTCAGTGGCGGAAGGGGCAAATAATAAATTATAAGCCTAATAAATAAGCAAATTGCATAAAACAGACGGTAAAAGATGATGTGGAAACAAAAAAAAAAATAGAACAGGGTAAAAGAAGGCCAGGAGCACAAGTTTCCTTTTATTTTTATCAGTTTTTGTATGAATTTATGATGTGTCCAAGTCCCAGCGCACGTGCTACGGCACACATGTGGAGGTCGGAGGACAACTTTTGGGAGTTCTCTCCTTCTACCACGTGGGTTCTGGGGGACTGAACAAGTCGTCCGGCCTGTGCAACAAATGCCTTTAACCACTGAACCATCTCCCCGCCCAAAGTTTCAATGTTAAATAATACATAGATTTTCAGTTCAAGACCTTTGGGTGATGAATTTGTTAATTAGCTTGATTTAATTATTCACATTTTACCAAAGAGCCACAGTATCTGCAAGTATATTAAGATTTATTAAGTTTATACATTTGTAAGTAAAAATTAAAATACAAAAATAAAAAGTGGTCAAGGTGGGCCTTATTGAGGCATTTGCACAACAGGTGGTGGAGTTAGCCACTTGGGAATTTTTGAACTGGTTTCTGGGAGGAGGACACAGACCACGAAAGGGCAGAAGCCACCGCAGGTCCAGAATATTCCAGAACCACAAGGGTAGTGACTGGAGTGGAGAGAGGGAAAGAGATGTTAGTGGTTGACGCACTCCCAAGCCATTGAAAACTTTGTTTTTCAGTGGCTATGTCACAGAAGGTAACCACCTCAGACCAGCAGCGCTAGAGTTGAGGGGCCTGGCAAGGACAGTGGCTGTTCCTGCTCTCCAAGATGGTCTCTGGAGCTGAGGTTGGGCATGGTCTGGGGCACTGAGAGCTGTTGGGTGCACTAACCCATGGCTCTTCCCCCCTCCCCCGCCTCTGCAGTTACTGTTACCAGTGCCAAAGCCAGGTGCCACCACGGAGTGGGCACTGCTCTGCCTGCCGTGTGTGCATCCTACGCCGTGACCACCACTGCCGCCTACTGGGCCGCTGTGTGGGCTTCCATAACTACCGGCCCTTCCTGTGCCTGCTGCTTCACGCTGCTGGTGTCCTGCTCCATGTCTCAGTGCTGCTAAGCCCTGCCCTGTCAGCCCTGCTGCAGGCCCACTCAGCCCTCTACACAGTGGCTCTCCTGCTGTTGCCCTGGCTCATGCTACTCACAGGTGGGCAGTTTTCTGAATCTTGCAGGAGCCAGAGACCCTTGCACTGTGTTGGGGAACAAGGACCCTTCCCATGGGAGGTGGGATGTCCAGCTGGTTCTCTTGGGCAATGCTCTGGGGACCCCGTCCAAGAGTAAATTAAGGAGAGATGGAAACCTCATACCTAGCTGAGTGTGAAGTACTGTGCTTTACATGGTGCTCCAAGACAAGAACAGAGTTCTAGCCCCTAAATCAAGGATCCCAAGGCTTGCTACAGAAGAGGAAAGGCTAGTATGAAAGCCCATGGGTTGTTGGGATGCTAGCTAGAAGGTTATCTTAGGGGAGATGGGCAGGTCTTCTGTCCCAAATATACTCTCCACCCCCACCCCGCCTCTGGAAGCCACTGAGGTGCTCATGCTGGCTTCCTTTTAGGGTCTTCTATACATTTCTCTACGGTTCCGTTTTCCAAGGGTAGGTGCTTTTCTGCAGCTGTTATAGCCTTCCTTACTGTTCCCAGTACCTGCCTGCCTGCCTGCCTGCCTGTCTCCCTCCCTCCCACAGTCTCGCTGTGTCTCCCAGGCTGGCTTTGAACTCACTGCCTCTTCCTCAGCTTCCCAAGTACTGAGGTTGCAGGCATGTGCTGGCTCCTGGCTCCCATTTCTTGACCTCTGTGCTTCACTTCCCCCAACTCTCATATCCACAACTACTTCTTGTCGGAACCCAGAATGTGTCCCCTCCATTGGCCCTCCCTGTTTGTAACCTCCATCTTCTACCCTTTCTCCCTGGTTTTTATGTTTCAATTCATCTTCCCTGTCCGACCTTCACTGTTCCTGTTTAGGCTAGAGTCCTTCATTTCCACCTTTCTCTTGCTAATCTCCCAAGCATCTTAGCTCATCTTCCTTCTTCTGGCTACTGAGAGCTGCCAGATATACGTGTTCATGGCTAGGTTCACCTTGTTCTCCATTTGAAACTCAGGCTGGCAGGAGCATTGAGAGTTTGTGGCCCACCTGGGTTACATTTGGAGCTTAAGGTGAGCCCAAGCTACATTTTTTGAGATCTTGTCTCAGAAACAAAGAACAACAATGTTCCTGTGTTCAACTCTCCCAGGAGGGCAGGAGGGCCCACAGCTTTCAAAAGCTACCACCTCCCTTGTTGGAGGCCTCTGCTTGTTTTGTCCCCTCCTCTTCCTGTGCCCCAGCTCTCTTCATTGGCTTTCTTGGGGTTCCCTTACCTTATGTAGACCGTTTTCTTATTTTGTCTCCTCTTTCCAAAGGATGTGTGCAGCTTGCAGCTGCTTTCTCCTGCCTCTCCTTGCTCCCACCTGGCCTCTGCCCGGCCCTTCCTCCTCCTGGACTGGCACAAGTCAGGCTCTGTCTGTAGAAAACCCAGCTCCTCTAGCTTCTACCTCTCAGGAACCTCTCAGGCTCAGGGGCTTCCAGGGCTGCATTCTTCACAGGTTTTGCCTTTGGCCTCACCTAAAGCTAAGACTTCGAAATTTCCATCTCTACCTTCCCTTTTGGTCTTCCTTTCATCTGGTCTCCACAGACTTTGTATCCTGTACTTTAGTGTGGAAGATCTCTCCTCTCCCTCGAAACACTCTGGCATGTCTGGCTGCTCTTGGAGCCCCTCCCTCCCTTCAGGTTTTTACTGCACACATATCTGCTGGGTAACAGGACTTCTTAAACTGCCAGACCATTGACACTGTCTCCTAAGAGTCTCTCCTGGACAGGATATTCCTCTGCCCCCTTATCAAAGTAGATGAGCTCTATTTCCTCTACCTTTAGTATTTTTTGCACAGTATTTCTGCCATGGTTTGGAGTGGTTTCATGAGTGTGTGTGTGAGAGAGAGAGAGAGAGGGGAAGAGAGAGAGAGAGAGAGAGAGAGAGAGAGAGAGAGAGAGGAGATTGAGTACCTCCCACCTTCTGTTTGAAACACAGTCTCTCAACTTTGACAAGTAGGCCAGGCCAGCTAGCCAATAGGCTTCAGAGATCTGCCTGTCTCTGCCTCCCACCAATCATCGCTGGAATCACAGGCCTATGATACCACATCCAGATTTTTATGTGGGTCCTGAGGATCTGAATTCAGTGTCTCATGCTTGTAAGGCAAGCAGATTACTGAATGAGCCATTTCCTCAGACCAAGTACTCTTTTACTGATACAAAACACATCATTTTAGTCATTTGGAAGTGTAAAATTCAGTAGATTTTAGTATTCCAAATATACTAAATATTTAGTATATAGTGTAGTGCAACCATTACCACTAACATTTTCACTCCATAGATAAATGCTATGACCAGTAAGCAGCCCTCTCATGACTCCCTAAATCTCAAACTCTGACAATCAAATTAGTCTGCTTTCTGTGCATGTGTTTGCCCACTGAAGACAGCTCACAAGAAGCACATCCCACAACCCATGGCCCTTCGTGCCTAGCTTCTGCACAGTGTTTCATGACCTCTGGTGGTCAATTCAGCAGGAACTAGTTGCCGCTGAGGCCCAGATGGTAGCAGATGCTATGCTCCTCTGTGTAACCGAGTAACTGAATTCACAGAATGGAGGGATGAATCCCACTTCTTGGGTGGGAGGAAGGCAGGATTTGGGTTTGGGAAGGCCAGCCAACTGCTATCCCCTGAGACCATTTCTGTTTTCTCCCCACAGGCAAAGTGTCTCTGGCCCAGTTCGCTTTAGCTTTTGTGGTGGACACCTGTGTGGCAGGCGCACTGCTGTGTGGTGCTGGACTGCTCTTCCATGGGATGCTGCTGCTTCGGGGCCAGACCACCTGGGAGTGGGCTCGGGGGCAGCACTCCTATGACCTGGGCACCTGCCACAACCTGCAGGCAGCCCTGGGTCCACGCTGGGCCCTAGTCTGGTTCTGGCCTTTCCTAGCCTCCCCTTTGCCTGGAGATGGGATCACTTTCCAGACACCAGCTGAAGTGGTGGGTCTTGTGGCTTCCTGACTCCAGGTAGAGCCGGAACTGAATAGGGAGTAAGGGAGCAGAGGAGGGAGCTGGGCTTGCTTTCAATTTCATGCCAGCCACAGGAAGGAGGCCAGGTTGGCCCTTCATGCCTGTAGTGGCAGCTCTAGCTCCTTCCATGGACCTGTCCATTGTGGGCTCTTCCATGTGTAGAGTTCAGACACGGAAACTCGGCCCCTTTTGGCAGAGGAGGGTCTGGCAAGGGGGCGACTTGGTTAGCCTGCCTGCCCCTCTACCAGGCTGATAAAGTGCCCATTAGGTTCTTGTCCTTCCCCGTCTTTGCTGGGTTCCCACCCCTCACTTTACTGTTTTGCTTGCTGTTTTCCAGTTCCCATTATTATCAGGCCTGGAGACTACAGGAGGCATGAGATCCTAATGGGCCAGGGCTCTGCCTCCTCCGGCCTTGGGAGGGTGTGGTGGATCCAGGCAAGGAGAGTCCAAATGTGCTCTAGAGGGCAGCACTCCATGGAAACCTCTCTGCAGCAGGGGTTTCAAGGAAGATCTTGTAGCTCACCTGAATGTGGGGCCAAAGTTAGGATCTTTGTTCTGTAAAAACATAAAGCACTGCTAGACCACGTGACAACATTGTAGGATAGAAGTGTTGGCCTTGCTGGCCTTAACTCAGAAATCCACCTGCTTCTGCTTTTTTGTTTTCTTTTTTGACACAGGGTTTCTCTGTGTAGCCTTGGCTGTCCTAGAACTCACTTTGTAGACTAAGCTGGCTTCAGACTCAGAGATGTGCCTGCCTTTTCCTCCCAAGTGCTGGGATTAAAGGCATGCACTGCCACTGCCCGGCTGCGAAGGACGTTTTTAGTGTGTGTGTACTTTCATGCATGCATGGGCATGTATACGTGGGTGCTCATGGAGACCTCAAGAGGGCATTGAATCCCCTGGGGCTGGACTTACAGGCTGTTATGAGCCACCTGATGTGGGTACTGGAAACTAAACTTGGGTCCTCTGCAAGAGTAATATATACTCTTCACCACTAAGCCACTTCTCCAGCCCCCTTTTTGCTTTTAAAAATCATTATTTATATTATTATTATCGAGACAGGGTCTCATTTAGTGTCCCAGGCTGGCCTGGAACTTTCAGCAAACTGCTTGCTTCAGACTTCCAAACCCAGGGAATTACAGGTGTGGTGAATCCACATGCCTAGCTTTCAGCATCTGATGTAAATATAGTTAATAGCTAAACACAGCAGGCTTCAGCACCCCCAGTTAACTCTGTTTGCCTTTAGACTCACTAAAATAATAGAGAAATAAAAATAATATAAATTTATAAGGGGAAAGAAGATAGATGTTTGTATACCAAAGAGCCTAGCAATGTTTTGAAACATGACAGAATTTGGGAGCTTGTTTGTCTTAATAGAGAATCAAAAGTAAAATAAAAATAAAAAAATCAAAAATCAAAATGACATATTCCTAAAGAGGGGAGAGGACAAGCAAGGCAGAACTTCCCCAGCATTATGGAAGATGAGGTTAGGCTTTGGTTTAACCTTGGGTGGGGTGTCGGACAGTTTGGATCAGGTGTGAACTGTTCTTCCCCTCAGACCTCATCTACCCCTGCAGCCACCCTCCTGGGATGTGATGGTAGGGTAATAAGGAAGACAGACTGGACCAGAGCAGCTCTGGATCTCAGGGCCAACAGGAAAGGTAGGAGGGGGGGGGCTGGATCAAAAATAGAGCTAAGTCCACAGAAAGTGTTGGCTGTCACCTGCAAATAATAACATGCCAAGTCCCCAGGAGTCTACCCTCCTGACAGGCTTTGCCTGTACTCCAAGAGGTCATTGTTTGCCACTCAACATGCTCTGTTGTTTTAAAAAGACATTAGGAACACTTGGTGCTGCATGAGGCGCTGGCAATCTGGTGTCCTCTTCTGCAGAATATTTAATTTTCATGTGTTTTCGAGATATGTAAGGTTCCTTGGTACCCTCACCACAGCTTGTCTGGGAAAACCACCACTCCTTGAAGTTCCTGCTGTGCCCTCCCTAGTGAGTAGGAGATGAGTGACACACTGATCTTAATCATCCCCTTGCTTTCCTTGTTACATGTGTTTGTATTGGTTCTGCATGTTTTGGTTGTGTATGAATGGAATTATACCAGTTTTTTTTCTCCCCTGTGGCTTGTCTTTTCACTCAATATTGGTTCAGAGATGTGTCCAAATTACTGCATGTAGTGGTATGGTACTTTTTCTTCGACATGGAACTCTGAATATACCACAACCAAATTTTGCTTTGCTCCACTGGTCATTGTTTTTTCTACCTCTTAGTGGGAATCACCCACTAGGCACCCTTGCTCTTCCATACCAATCTGAGAGCCAGCTCCTCGGATCTCACCAATAAAAGCCCACCTTGAAGTACTCAGTGGAGCCCAACAACTGTACATCAGCTTGGTGAAAATTAGCATCTGTGAGATTCAGCTGCCCAGGTCATGAACATGGTTTATCTCCTCAATGAATATTTTCTTAGTATTTGAGACAGGGTCTCACTTTGTAGCTCTGGCTGGCCTAGAACTTACTATGTAGACCAGGCTGTCCTCAAACTCAAAGATCTGCCTGCCTGCCTCCGCCTCTGCCTCCCAAGTGCTGGGATTAAGGATGTGTCAGCTTTAAATGTTTTCAATAAAGCTTTTTTCCCCCCTGATAAACATGTCTTTTGAGTGGATCCATTTTTGTATTTGAAAATGAGCCTTCCCGAATTCTGGGATTAAAAGGGTAAATCACCATATCTGGCTTCTTCTTTTTTCTTCTGTGTAACAGTTCTGGCTGTCCTGGAACTCGCTTTGTAGACCAGGGCTGCCTCTGTCTCAGGTGCTGGGATTACAGGTGTGTGCTACCACCACTTGGCCTTTTACTTTATTTTAAACTTTTTGTTTTGTTTTGTTTTTTGTTTTTTCGAGACAGGGTTTCTCTGTGTAGCTTTGGAGCCTATCCTGGCACTCGCTCTGGAGACCAGGCTGGCCTCGAACTCACAGAGATCCGCCTGCCTCTGCCTCCCGAGTGCTGGGATTAAAGGCGTGCACCACCAACGCCCGGATTATTTTAAACTTTTTAAAAAAGATTTTATTTATTTATCATATATACAACATTCTGCTTCCATGTATATCTGTACATCAGAAGAGGGCACCAGATCTCATAACAGATGGCTGTGAGCCACCATGAGGTGGCTGGGAATTGAACTCAGGACCTCTAGAAGAGCAGTCAGTGCTCTTAACCTCTGAGCCATCTCTCCAGCCCCTATTTTAAACTTTTTAAAAAACATTTTATGTGTCTAATTGCCTACATGTATGTATGTGCACCATGTGGGTGCCTAGGGCCAAAAGTGGTGGCAGGTCCCTGAAATGAGTTTCAGACAATTGTGAGCCACACCATATGGGTGCCAGAAACTGAGCTCAGATCCTTTGCAAGTGCTCTTTTTCACTGAACCCCCCCCTCTGGCCCATTTCTGACTTTAGAGGGAATGGACTGTTTAATTAAATAAGTTCACTATGAGTTTTTTTAAATTAGATGCTGTTAGGCTACACACACAAAAATAAATGCAAAAATTAAGTGCATCTTTGAAAGGATACCATGAGGACAGAACAGAAGAGCTGAGAACTAAGGAAAAACATGGTTTGAAACTTAAAAGCTAACAAAATTCTCAATCTCAGAAAACAATGACCATGACAGAAGAGAGAAGAAAATCAGGATCAATCCAGTTCTCTCAGGAATGACCATTTATCAGATGTTGGGCTTAACTGGAGCTCTAGAGAGAAAAGTACAGCTCTGAGAAGGAATGCCCATCTATCCCCACCTCACAAAGCAACAATCAGGAACCAGGAGAAAGCCAGAGGACACCGGATCTTTGTCTATGGAAAATTATCTCAGCTTTTGTTTACCACCCAAATTATTAAATGTGTGAGCTGAATACAGCAATGTCCAGACAAGCAGTGATCGAGTGGGTTTTTGTTTTGTTTTTTTAAGATTTTATGTTATGTATGAGTGCTCTATCTCCATGTACTCCTTCATTCCAGCAGAGGGCACCTGATCTCATAACAGATGGTTGTGAGCCACCATGTGGTTGCTGGGAATTGAACTCAGGACCTCTGGAAGAGCAGCCAGTGCTCTTAGCCACTGAGCCATCTCGCCAGTCCCTTGAATGGGTTTTAAAAAGAAGTTACCCATGGATATCTTTTACCAAATGAGGGCAGAATAAGAAAGAAGGCACGGAGCTCAGGAATCAGGGGATATAGCCCTAGATAAGGGAAAAGGGAACTCTCTTATAGGAGTCTACACAGAAGTAAGCTATGAAGGAAGTGTGCTTAGAAAAGAACCAAGATTGGAGAGGAAAATGTTCAATTGTATATTAGAAAACTAAGCAATAAAATAAAGCAGGTACCAATTCCATGAAAAGATCTCAAAGTTCAAAAATGGTTATTTAGTTAATTCTTTACTAAGGTTTCCACATATCAATATAAACAGCAATGAAAACAGTGAATATAGATGACCTAAAACATGGAGAGCAGGGGAGGGGTCTCAATAGCACTAAAGCCTCATTTATTACAACAGAGTCAAAGGATGTTCAAGATTGACAACTGAAGCAAGAGTAGTACAGGGGCTGCAGAGACAACTCCGTGGTTAAGAACCCTTGCTCTTGCAGAAGACCAGGTTAGCTGCCAGCACCCACACTGGGTAGCTCACAACCACCTGTAACTCCAGTTCCTGGGGATCCAACACACTTTTCTGGCCTTCTCAGGCACCTGTACTCATGGACATAAACCTTACATACATAATTAAAAGGAAAACATTTTAAAAAGTTTATATGTATTTTTAAAATATTTAATGAAGCTGGGCAGTGGTGGTACACACCTTTAATCCCAGCACTTGAGAAAGTAGATGGATTTTTTTTTGAATTCTAGGCCAGCTTGGTCTATATAGTGAGTTCCAGGACAACCAGGCTGTTACACAGAGAAACCCTATCTCAAAAAAACAAAATAACTTAATGAAAATGGCTGTTGTACGGGATGGTCCTGTGGAATGGGAAGGCATTTATTTTGTATTAAATAGTCTATTCCAGATCACTACATAGGTGTATGTTTCAAATGAAGTATTATGAAAACAGATAGACTCTTCTCATCCTTAATGTTCACAATTTCTTAGCGTTCTCACTCCTGTGTGTACTGGGCACTCTGCTGTTTATGCTCATGTTCCTTTGTGTCCATAAGGAGTAGGACACACATTTCTTCCCACCCCCCACCCCTGGTTCTTTTCAAGACAGGGTTTCTTTAATAACAGCTGTCCTGGCAGGCCTCGAACTCACAGAGATCTGCCTACCCTTGCTGGGATTAAAAGTGAACGCCATCACCAGCCCAGCCACACATTTCTTACCAACCAGTGCATAGAATAACACTGTTACTTGGTAGGGCCTGGGCATGTGTCTCTCCCTTGTATCATCATAAACAGCTATGGAGACAGTGCACACCAAATGCTTTGTTCTGATCTTACAGCTGGACTGGGGTGAAAGGGACTGGGATGTCATCTGACCCAATACACAACATGTGACAGCACAGCACCCCTCACATAATACCTGTGCCACACGCCAGGCTGAACCTGGTCAGACACGAGAAAATGTTGGTCTCCATGGAACAGCGCTCCTGGTTCTCAAGTGGTTCAGAATGGTCTTTGAAGAGGGCCAGAGGCTGCTGGCACTTGGAATCTAAACACATCTTCATTTAGCCTTCAGCTTCATTCCATACCACTCATGTGTATCTTTTCAGGGACCTCGTGCACATTCTGGCTACTGCACAGAAACATTCGACCCTCTGGACCATCTTGTGTTTTGGGCCTAAGTGCATCCTGACAGGTACTTGTGGGCACCACTTCTTGGGCCACTTCCCAGGTACCAGTTCCCAGGTCTTCCTGGTGCCATCAGCCCTAGCTCTGCTATCTAGCCTGGTATTCCATTTCAGGAATGATGCTCTGGACGCAAGTGTTCGGGTCAGGAGCAGCTGCTGTGTGGGAGCTTTGGCTGGGGCTGGGACCACTAGCTCCTCACAGGGATCCCCTCTACCTCTTGCACCACCTCCTCCGTCAATCTTTGTGGCTGGTCTAAGACTTGTGGACACAGCCCTGTGTCTCCTGGACTGCAAGGTAAAAGTGGAGCCCTTTTTTCATGAGGGAGCTTAGCGCATGTGTCTGCAAGATAAGCTGGCAGAAACCATGCCCCCTGCAATCTTAAAGGGCAACAGGGCAGCTGCAGCCAAGACCTCGAGCAGTTGCAGCCTTGATCTGAAACAGATGAGTGGAGTAAGGAAGGGTGGGGCCTCTGCTCACCTTGATCACCTCAGGTCTCTTCTTAGGACCTGAGATTTCTTTAAAGAGCTGGGGAGGGTGGTAGGCAGCAGGAATCATGGGTCAGTGCTCTGGAGGGATACCAGGGAGCAGGAGCTGACTCTGAGCACTCTCTGTCTTGTGGATCAGGCCCGGTGGCAAGGGTAGGGAGCAGGGACTCTTTCAGAGAGGCACAGAAAGCGGATGCCACTACACTGCTGTGTGGGGACGTAGCCTGGGGGGCACCGGAAGTCGTGGATCTGGCTGGCTCCATTCTGTGGAGGCTTAAATGCTGGCCCAGAGCTCAGGCAGCTGCCATCCCCTCACTCACAGGCATGTTGATGTGAGCACTCAGCAGGGGTGCACTCTGGCCTTCCCGGAGCACCAGCACCTGGGGAGGAGAAGACATGGCAGAGTGGGCCCACACCTTGACCTCTCCTCTTTGCTAACATCAAATATTCTGTCTGTGCTGGCACAAATGACAGGCTACCAGCCTACCTGTCAGAGGGATGGGAAGGCTTGGAGGCTTCTGCTGTGCTGACATTTCCCACTGAAGCCCAGAGCCCCAGAGTCCTGTCCACCCTCATCCTCCAGCCTTTCCCAGGGTTCCTCTTGCCTCTCTGAAATACCAAAAGGCAACCTACCTTGATCATGTCTGAAATGCCCTTGCTATTGAGACTCTCCACAAAGGTCTCCAGTGGGTAACTGAGTCCTGGCACCAGCAAAGGGACCTATGTTTGGGGGACAAAAATAAAGTAGCCCTCAAAGCCCACATACCCAGACAGTGTTTAGCAGCCTTCAAAGCGTTTGTGCCTGTCCTCTTAGCTGCATCTCAGGATCCTTCAGCCTGGGCAGGGAGGACTAGCCAGACCCAGGGAGCGATGTGCAGGGAGGGTAAGTAAGTGCATGCCTGGGGCCCATGTGTCTACATAATACCTGTGCCACACGCCAGGCTGAACCTGGTCAGACACGAGAAAATGTTGGTCTCCATGGAACAGTGCTCCTGGTTCTCAAATGGTTCAGAATGGTATTATGCTGAATGTAGACAGCATAATAATTGCCATCTAATGCAGTCTATTACTAGTTTAGGAACTAACCCAATTAAGTTTTGGGCTCTTCACATCCGCTTATCCTCGTGTAAAGCATGTCTGCGGTCAGGAGAGCCTCCGCTGCAGCCCCATATCTTCCTGACTGATGGCCACCTTCTCCCACATCTGCTTGGCTGGGAGTTGCCTAATCCTAGCCTCATCTCCTGGCAACACATCCTGCAGGTGGCTAGCCACCTTCCCCCCTTCCTGATTCCCTTATTCTACTTAAGCCCTGCTTGTGTGTTTAATAAATGAGACTTGATCAGAATACTGTCTTGTCCATCTCTCATGTCTCTTGCCCTTTTCATTCTCACTCCCTCTCTCAGGGTCCCCATTGACTGACCCTCGGGCAGGGGCATGTGTCTGTGGTTAAACCTAGACCTCTTGACAGCTACCAAGGCCAGGGTTGATTCTTCCCTATTCAAGAGTCTTGGTTATTGCTTCTCCAAACTTGAGGACACCTTGAGCCCTGGGGAAGCCCTTTGCTTCTGCAGTGACTGGGGCAGAGGGTGGCTCATTTTCTCCATCAGGAACAGCTGAGAAGAAGCATGAGTTCTGGAGCTTCCTACCCTCCTCCCCAACAGCATCCTGTTGCCCCCCTGGGGCGGGGGCAAAGAAAGAGCTCACTCTGCTCTTTTCCAGCTCCTGTGTGTGGCTCCCTGGGGTCTCTCTGGCTGGGAGAAAGGCAGTGGAGGCAGGAACTGAGCTTGGTCTCTGGTTTGCTGGCCACTCCCTTACCTCAGCCTAACAGAAGCATCTCATCAGCCCCAGCCCTGACTGTTGCAGCCCAACAGTGGCATCAACGTGGAGATCCAGTACCTTGAAGAAGGCCCGGGGCAGGGCATAGAGTGCCTCATTGTACAGGAAGCAGACCTGCAGCCCCAGTGCTGGCCGAGCTGTTGAGGTATTCTGTAGGTGAAGTGTCAGCTTAAAGGTGGGACCCAGGCCTTGAACCTGTGTAAAGAGTAGATGGAGAGGCCCTCAGGACCCATTGGCCTTGAGCCCTGAATACCACACCAGCTTGCCTGCTGCTTCCCCATCAATGCTCTCAAGCCACCATTTTCCAGTTCTGTCCATCTGCTTCTTAAAGGGCACAGAAGGTACACAGGATGGCAAAGGCCCAGATCAGGAAGGTCTTGATGGAGATTACTTAAGGAGTTGTAAATAAAGTTGGCTTGGGGCTGTAGCTGTGTTCATCACGGACCCCAGGGCCTTATCCCACTGGCTCAATGATTTAACTGTCCCCCCACAGCTCCATTCTAAGAGGCTCTGTAACCCTTTCTTCTCTCTCTAGCCACCTCTTCAGAAAAGAAAACAACTGAAGCAGGACATGGTGGCACACACCTTTATCCCAGCACTCTGGAAGCAGAGGCAGGCAAATCTCTGAATTTGAGGCCAGGCTGGTCTACAGAGTGAGTTCCAGGAAGGCCAAGGCTACACAGAGAAACCCTGTCTTGGTGGTGGTGGTGGAGGGAGAAGGAGAA